GCTTACTTCATCACCAGTGTTCGGGCAAGACTACTCTAATTCATTTATAAGTTCTTCATCCAAGCGTATGTTTTACAGCATTCGAGTCTTCTGCCATGACTGAGTGTCAAACAACTTCTTTCGGTTATGGCTTCATCTGCTTCTGTCTCCTTGAACCCCAGTCGGCCTCGGCAGATGACCACTCACACTGAGCCTGGTTCTGCTGGAGGTTTCCTCCTGTTAAAATGGATTTTTCCTCTCCACTGTCGCCACATGAAGGCTCAGTGCAAGGGATTGCAGAGAGCCAATGACTCTATGCAATCAGCTGGTTTTCCTTAGGTATAAATATTTTGAAGAATATGATTGTGTTACCTGTATAAATAAATGTTATATTTTCTAATTCCAACTTTTCTCTGTGTGAGTCTCTCAAGGTCGAACTCTGTTTCTTTTTGTTTTACTTTCTATTAATCTTAACAAATTCTTATGGTGTACTTTGGATTATTTTTCTGATGCATAATTTGCTGAATCATTGGTTTGCGAACTGATGGCTGGTCTTTCTCCATCAGGATCGTCGCTACAGTCAAAATGTACGGTTCCGTCACATAAGGGGAGACTTCCAGGACCTGAAGAAGCAACCTGCCACCGATGCCCCGATGTTTAAATGCAACCATGATGTTATTCCACGATATGACAACTATGGTCTTGTGAGATAGGCTTTGGTTAGGTTTTATTATTGTTGTTGTTTTTCTGTATTGTTTGTGCCTCAGAGCTCCTATCTTGATGTCATTTCACCCAGCCTCTTTGTTATTTAGTCAAAAGCACCTTAACTAATGCAGGGCTTAAGGTGTTGTTTTGGGTCTGTCATATTTTGATTGAGGCATGTGGCATTATTGCCTTTAGATCACAAATGTTAGAGAAGATCTATGTAAAATATTTCTTGAGTCTGGCTTTAAGCGGAAATGGAAATTAAAGCTGAGAAGGTGGTTAATCACAGCCAATTTTTATCTTAAAATTAAAACCCATTGCTTTTTTTCTGTGAGGTTTTCTTTTTAACAAATAAAATAATTGTTTGAAACTATATTTTACGTTTATTCAGCCTATGTTGAATGAAAATCTGGTTGATTTGAAATATTTGCATATGACAGCAGAAAAAGTCTGTTTATCCTCTTTTTGAAAAAACTGATTCTTAAAAAAAAATGTCTTGGTCAAAAATAATGGCAAACAACGCTAATAGTGTAGGTTGTCATCATGAACAATATTAGTCATCCAGTGAGAAATATGCTCATTGGAGCAAAAACCATTGTTGTCATCTCTCTCCTTTTGCTTCAGCAGCTCTTAATCTGAAGCTCCTCCCACATGAGTACACCTGTCATGTCCTCGGAGCCAATTCAGTCATTTCTCAGGACTCCACAGTTAGGTAAGTAAGCAATTCTTTCTTATCTAACAAAGGGTTAGATGTAAACTTTAATCATGTAAAATAAGAAAAGAAAAAAAAAAGAAAAACAGAGCCCACCTGTACATTTTGAGCTTATTTGCTCCTCCCACCTGATGTGGGTATTTATTACTCCTCTAGCCCTGACTGTCTATTTGTTTACTGCCTAGGAGAAATAGAGCCGTATCAGGTTACTACCGGTAGGAGCAACAGAAATATGTGCACGTGTTTCTGTTTTCCTTAAAATGTTTATAATTTAATTGAAATTTAAGAAAAATTCACCATTTCTTTTGGTGGGTAATTTCTTTGAGAGCAGTGTGCCCTCGGCAGTGTATGTTTAGTTGGACATTAATATAGAAAATACTTAATAAAGCATAAAAAAATGCTTTACCTTAGAGTCTAAAGAGTTTCCATAACAGTTTATATGATATAACTTTAATTTTGTTAAAGGTCTTGCTTCACAACCAGGCTTATGCAAAGTGCTGAGTCATGGTGAGAACAAAGATAAATTGCCTGCAGTGTAATTCTTTTATATCCGCATTTCAACCACTTTTTTGAACACCTGCATAGATCACATGTTACAAAACCTTCATGATTAGCCTTTACAGTTTGGCCTAATCTTCTTTTCATCTGGTTGAACAGGTTTTCATCCATGTCTGCTTCACCACACTCACATGTTCACACCAGAAAACCAGATTAGCAGCAGATTTACAATTAAAGAGCTTTACAGCTTAGAACTTTTCTGATACCTTCAGAGTTTGGACTCAAAAATAAAACTTTGTTTAATGAGGGCTTTATGTGGCGATGAAACAAAATGTAAAGAGTGATTGTAAAAATGATTTTTAGATCATCTATGCAGCTCATTATATGGTGAAAAATCAAAAGTGTATCAGCAGGAATTTTACATCCCAGCGTCATGCTTTGGTTTTAAATATATATATATATATATATATATATATATATATATATATATATATATATATATATATATATATATATATATATATATATATATATATATATATTCAATAGCAACTGGAACAGTCAGGTAGATAGAGCGATTCTTAATAAAAACCTGGAAGGAGATTTGTCAAGATATAAAGACTTTAGCTAATATTCATGCTTTTAAATGGCCCAGTTAAGGTCCAGACCCTGAATCCAATTAAAGCCAGGCATACATTGCATGATTTTTTCAATCGTTGCATGCATCTAAAGCTTAAACAATACGACAAAACTCTCTAAAAGTTCACAGCTCACAATGTGCGACCAGACACTCTGATCCGATCTACCTGCTCACACTGTACGTCTAAAAACCATGTCAGACTCAGCTCCGCGGTAAGATGGCGCTACACGGACTCGTCTATCCGGAAGCCAAACGACTAGAAGAGGGAAATTAAGTTCACTAGAGAGAAACGCGTTGCCTTGGCAATTTGTGCAATCGTGTGTGCTGAAAGCTCTAAAAACAAAGGGCGAAGTATTTGGACAAATTCATGGCTGAGCAAACGTGGCTACTACGGTCTGTCAATTTCACTCACACCCCCGCCATGCTTTTTTGTTGTCGTCTGAGAGGAAGAAGAAGAATCCTTGTTTGCGCATGCCCACTGAGTGATTTGCCCATGACGGCCAACTGAAAACATGTTTGATTTTTTCCTGACCTTACGATTCCGACGAGGTGGTCGTGAGTTGCTGATCACCCCTCGTTACAAATTTTTGGGCTGTGCTTTTTTGGCACAGCGGTTAGCATGCATGACCCATGTATGTAGGCCTTAGCCCTCAACATGGCCGACAAGGATTCGAATCCAACCTGTGGTCCTTCGCAGCATTTATCTCCCCCTCTCTCGGACCCCATTTTCTGTTGGTCCTCGGTACAAAAAACGATTCACTAATGCTGTAAAAACCTTTAAAAAAAAAAAAAAGAAGCTCTCAAAATAATATAATCAAATAATACCAAATTACAAATAACTCAAACACTTGTCAGATTGGCATTTAAAGAAGCTAAGGAGTATGATTTAACTTTCACTTCAGAATCATGCACAATCTAATGTTTACAAAAGTAAATGAAACCGTAACCTTTGAAGGTGAAAAGTGTAAAACTTGAAAAGTTTCAAGTGATATGAAACTTTTAAAAGACAAGGCTGTAATTAAAGTCATAGTAGCATTTAATTGGTCACCATGTGTGCGACCTCTCTGTTTTGCCAGCAATATATTCATGTTCACCTAAAGTCCTGTGTCTCCCTGTTTGTGCTGATGCAGACTGATGTCATTTTAGTTGCAGCTCCCGGGGTTTATTCTGAGACTGTGTTTAGCTTATGGGACTTTGTAACGGCTGCCAGAGATGACCACGGATGTTTCCAAGCCTCTCATGCGATTTGACCGCATATGCTGAGGCAGCATCTTAGATTTAGCTTCTTACGTTCAGGAAGTTAAGTTTTGTCACTAGATTGAGGTGGGACTTTCGCTTGTTAAGCAGCCTCCCACTTTTTTTTTTTTTATAAATGGTCTGCTCCTGGCAGAAACATTATAACTGGAAGCCACATTTTGGTCTGATGCTATTTTGTGTTTATGACAGCTGTCTGTTTCATGTGCTAATGTAGTCGTACCAGGCTGGGTGGGACGGTTTAAAGTGTCACTTCCTCAATAGGCTACAGAAGCACAGTTGGATCACACAATTAGACTGACTATGGTTATAACTACTGCAGTGCATTCTCAACATCATCCTTGTTATTTTGTGTTCAGGCCAACTCATTCATGTGGCTTATCTGCATGTGGAGAGGTGGTGTCGACATGTCTGTTATCAAACTGGTCAGTCAACACAGATTCAGGCTTATCTATGTGGAATGGGCAGCGTTGATAGAGGATAATTAATCACAAGGGAAGAATAGCTATAGTGTTGTTTAAAAGTATTTCCCTATTAAATTTCTTCCTCCTTTTCTTTGTCAAAAATGTTTTGGGTCCTACAATTTGTTAATCTTCGAAGAACAAAAATGAATCTTTGAAAAAAAAAAACCCTTCCCAACAAGCCCCGGTTGTAAGGTCATAAATGAACTGTGGTTAAACAAATTTTCGTGAAAGCTGAGCTGCCACACCTGACCTGAAGAACACAGAAATGCTTTGGATTGTACCTGTTTGACAACATGAAGTAAAAGAAGCTTAAAACCTACATGTAGCAGTGTAGCAAAGCCATTTTAAAGCTTTTAGAACCACAAAGGAAGTAAATACGGAAGAGTGGTTAATCTTTGGACACGTGGCCTGCATAAAAGATTAGACAGAGTGCAGATGCACATCGGTTTAGGTCAGGGGTCAGCAAACAGTGGCTTCAGAGCAGCCAGTGGCTTTTTGAACCCTCTACCATGGCTCTAATGGTGGCTAAAAATAATAAATAAGCCAACTAATGCTTTGGAATACATTAAGATAGCAAATACCAGCCTTAGGAGCTTTAAAAGCATTTCAAAAGCATTTATTTAAAACACAGATGATCTGAGTAGCAGCAGCTAAGGCGTCTATAACAGGAACCTCTAAAACAGTGAAACACTGGTTATGGAAAAAGATTATCTGATTGAGGATGAATATGAGCACGTAAGTCACTAACCTGGTTTGACAGTTCAGTCCGTGCACAGAGAAAAAGGGTGATTCTAGCCGGTCGGCTGAACAGATGCAGTGGATTTTGCCAGAGAGTTCAGAGAGCCTAGAAGGCTGCAGAACTGACAGGAGATCAGATCGGAGCTGACGAAGGAAGATGGGAAAATCCACAGGGCAAAGTCAAGAAGCAGATCTAGGTCCAGTCCACAGAAGAATCCAACAGGAGTCTGAAGACAGGCCGGGAAAACTGATCAGACAGGGGCAGTCAGGCTCAAAGGTCCAAATACAGAAACCGATCAGGCAATCAGAACACTATAGAAACACCAGCTAGAGATAATCAGAATAATCTGGCCCTGAAGACTGGATCCAAGCACCTTAAATAGAGGCATGAGCAGATGGATCAGATGAGAGGTATTAAGCAAATGAGCAGAGTTAGACAGGTGAATGGAATGACTAATTAAGCCAGTCATCAGTGCCAAGATCATAACAATGCTTCTTTCTTACCAAATTTTTCATGTTTTGTCTTTTTTTAAAGCTTAAAAGTATATTAAAAAAAAGCTTTTGGTAATATGATATGACACCTAGAAAACCTAGGGATTCAAATATGGCAAAAATAATAAGTAATAATAAGTTGTGTTTTATAAATATTTAATGCTAAATTATTTTTATTAATCACCAATAAGAAACGGAAAGAGGGACAGGAAGAACAGAAAGTATCATTAAAAATTTGCCATAAAAAAACAGTCACACATGATGCAGGGTAGGATGATGCCCAGAGGACTTAATAGACTGACTCATGAATTCTAGCTGTTCGTGACTTTATATTCAATCCTATTTAGGTAATACAGCAGGACAATGATTAGAAAACACTCATCTGAATGGCTAAAATGGCCCAGCTAAAGTCCCAACTTTTATTAGACTGAGATGATGAGCAGGTCCTCAAAATAGGCTCTTTGTTTTCAGAAACCCTTTCAAAAGGGCGGAACACTTTCTTTCTTTTATTAACACAGTTTGTCTTCCCTGATCCCATTTCCAATAAAGATTTCTCCCTCTTAATGATTCAGATCGTTATTTAAAACAATATATTTCATTATAACTGAATAAGTAAAATAAGGAGTCCATTCAATAGTGATTCATCAGTTTATTAATCTTCATGGATGAAAACTAGTTCATAATTTTTTTTTTACATTTCCAAATTTTTATTCTAAACCTTTTTGCTTTCAGGGAAAGCAGCGGAGGGGGTTATTAGTCAGGGTTTTCAGATAATCCTCCCTCGCTTTCTTCTTTTAGGCAATTGCATCTGAGAATGTAAAGATCTAGGAGCTTCAGGCAGATTAGATGGATTAATTACCACACATCTGACATACTGGCTAAAGACCTAACTTCTTCACTCATCCAAATTTTCTTTGAGTCTCTAAAGCACTAGTGGCGATAAACTTTATTCCAGTAAATCAAAGATGTGTTGCTTTTACAATGTGTTGCAAAATTGCCAGTGCTATATAATGGCACATTTATAGAGCATTAGCGAAAAGATTAAAGCTTTTGCTTTAGGGTATGAGTCCTCATGAGTCAACCACGCAGACTTGCACAAGTCCCGTGATATGATGATTTAGACCCCCGACTTAAGGCTCAGTGATCAACAGGAATCCGGCTTTGTTTAGAGCTCTGAAGTCTGCCTAAGAGTCTGGTTCATAACAAGACGAGGCTGGATGAGCGAGGTAGAGACGGGGTCGGACCCACTTCTCTGTGAAAAGATCAGGATGAGCAGGGTCTCAATTAATACGGCTCATTACGCCACCGTCTCTAGGGTTTACTGAGAATTCACAGAGGTAAGTTCAACATGAGGACAAGATTGTTTCTCAGTTTTTAGCTACAAACTGTCATGTTATTTTCTACAGGTGACTTTATCTCATATTACCCAAATTGTTATCTGTTATCTTATTCTTTCTCACAGCTCTTTAGACTTACGAGAGTCTGAGTCTCGAGGAATTTCTACACTGCCTTTTATTGGGTATTTATAGAGCCGCAATGAATTAGCTTGGAATGAATGTGTGTCCCTTTATTACCAACTTTCAGTTTTTATTAGTTTTAACACTAAAGATAAAGATGTGTCACCTGGAATGTGTAAATACCGGACTTTATAATGTCTGAACTTTGTTGCTTTGATCAGTTTTAGTTTTAGTTCCCTTCTATAAAACAAATTATATCTTATTTGCCATTTAAACTTAGATCAGCTGAAAATGCTTACAGTAACTAAAACCAGATTTTATCTATCATCAATTTAAGGCACTTGGTTTTTAATTTTGATTCCTTCCCATGTTTCTTAAAGGTCTATTCTTGTGCTTATAAAGCAGGAAAAGATTTAAACCTAGCACTTTTGAATTTAACTTTAGTATTAGCTCATGATTTATTCAGATAGCCTGCAGTTGGGTTTACATTGTACAGTTACTCATAAATTGTATTATAGTTCCACCTTTATAAGATCCATGGCCATTTTCCACTACTCTCTTGTTTGTCCTTAATATCTCTGAAACAAAGAAATTTGACTTCTATAAGAACATTGTAGGCTTTTTTTTTAAGTCGGCTGACAATCACTGTGTGGTAACCAGTGGGCCGACATGTTTGCATGATGGCAGGTTAAGCAGAGGCTTGTTATTCATAAAAAAGGTGATGATTAATGTGGCAGGAAGTGTTGTGCCAACTGTGATTTCACCATGAGAAACATGCACTAAAAGCCAAATAGAATAGAATAGAAAACCCCTTTATTGTCCCAGAGTGGGAAAATTGTGGTGTTACAGCATCAAAAGGTTATAGTAGAACTGGTCACACCTTAGAAAAGTGTATATAAATAACAGGTAGGAAAATAAAATCAAGTATTATACTCTAAAGTTTACAATATAAAACTCTGTATTTGGAGCATTAAAAAAACAATAACAGCTGTGGACATTTTTACAGTATTGGAAATGTGAAAAATAGCAGCAACACCAGAGATGTGCAAAAAAAATGAGAGCAGCATGTTATTTAACAGACCAAGGTAGAAACTGTGCAAAAATCAGCATGAATGTAGCAACTTATTGAGGTTGTTGGGAAGAGTGGTGGTTATAAAGTCTCACAGCTGCTGGGAGGAAGGATCTGTGATAACACTCCCTGGTGCATTCAGGGTGCAGCAGTCTGTCATTGAAGGAGCTCTCCAGTTCTGCAGCAGCTTCATGCATGGGGGGGGGGTGGACATGATCCAACAGAAATATGCAAAGTCTTTCCGGCTGGAGAAACTATCTGATAGGAAAATAGGAAACTGGTGTAAAATATGTCAGATTTCTTAAATCACAATAATGGTTTTTATTCTGATGCTTTGTGTTTATGTGTCTATTTCCAAAAATAATCATAATTTTTTTATGTAAATAACGTTTAACAGCTAACATGGGCAGTGACAGCCTAGTGGTTAGGGCATTGCGCTTGGAATCCAGAGGTTTTGAGTTCAAACCCCACTTCAACAGACTGCCACTCTGGGTCCCTGAGCAAGACCCTTCACCCCACTCTGGTCCCTGTGCGCCGCACAATGGCAGCCCACTGCTCCCCAAGGGGAATGGGTTAAATGCAGAGAGTTAATTTTATTGCTCTGTACTTGTGACAGTGTAATGACACTTAAAAACATTTTTTTTTTTTTTTTTTTTTAAACATAAAAAATGTCCAGGTACATAAAGTAACTTTTTGTATTTTTCACTATTATTTTTTTTTAAATACCACTCATATTACCAGTTAGCTTTAGCCATAGGGACCCACAAAACTGTCATGTGTTATCTTCTGAAATATAAGTATAATTTATTTAAAAAATAAATTTTAATGAACATCATTATAAAATGTATATCTATGGATTTAATGCATCATTCTGCCTTCTACAAATGAACTTTTTCTTAAATTTAAAACAAGGGTATTCCTATAAAATCCTTGTCTTTCTTTTACTGTAACATGCTTGTTGTTTAAGTTGTTTAACACAGTTAAAACCACTTAACTGTTTACCTACTGAGGATGTGAGAAGCAAACTGAGGAAAGACTTGAGGAATTAGAGCTCTAAAGCTGACCACACCAGGAAGTTTCAATAAGAAAGGGTTCGACTGTATAGGCTTGGTAATATTTGTGTTGGAAGAAGAGTTGGGTTTTTCTTTGTGCTCAGTTTAGAACATTATAAAATCCCAGTGTTTATAAGAATTGTATTTAGAAAGCAGATGATTAAAGCTTTAGGTTAGAGATTCTGGCCAATAATAAATCTGACAACTTTTGCATGTGTACAAACAGGTTTAGCATAATGTAAACAGAGGAAGTAGCTGAGTCTCTTGACTGCGTGCCACTCTCCTGTTACGCTTAAGAGCTTATTCTTTCTGTTGACGTTGCATAATTCCTAAACAAACAGATATTCATGCTGAATAATGGCTAGGAGCGCAGCCACTGCATGACTTTTCTCTGAATTGATGTGTTGTCACAGTGATTCAGCAACTTTTTAACTGCTCAACACATTTAAAGTAACCAATGAGATGGCATAACATAATTTTATCTTCTCACATACTAAAGAGCTTACATCTATTTACATGATTTGTCAAATGATTTATAGCGTATCAGTTCCTTTGGGCTTGCAACCACTTATTTGGACATCTGCAAAAGAGCAGCTGGATTTCAACAGTATTTAGGTCTGCAAATACTTATAACCAAAAACTAATTAGCTAATAGCTCTAACTATTAAGTAGAGAGTAAATGGTCGTATTAATGGACTCACAGATTTTATTCTTAACTTCTTTGCTTCTCTTGCCTGGGTTTAATACAAGCATTTCCACAACATAATACTGCTGCCACCATGTTTCACAGTAGGACATTTAGGATGATTTCCAGCATGGGTTTAGCACCACAGATAGCAAAAGTTCCATTTTAGTCTGGTTACTGGTCCATCACACAGCTTCTAGCAAGCTTTCAAACAGGATGCCTTGCATACCGTCTTCCAGAAAGGCCTAATCCATCCTGGTAACAGATTCTGAGCTGTATATCTGCATTTTCTCTGTTTCTCTGCTTTTTTCTAAACCTCTCCAGCTTTTTTCCAAACTTCTACTGAGGTTAAACTACAAACAGGTGGAAGTAGTTGACTTTGAAGTAAAGCTTGTAAAACTAGATTTCATTTACTGATATAAGGGAATAAAATAATGTAGGCTACACATTTTTAGTTTTTTTTTTATGAATATAAAAAGCATGCTTTATTATCAGCTAAAATCCAAATAAAATGCTTTGTTTTATATATAAATATATATATATATATATATATATATATATATATATATATATATATATATATATATATATATATATATATATATATATATATATATATATATATATATATATATATATATATATATATATATATCATACTATTTATTGTGTCAGAATCTTAGTGTTACTTTAAATCAAGGTAGTCTCATTTCAAACAATGCTCTCTTATCCTACCTTCTGATGCAAACCTGCTCTCTGGAGGTAGGGGCTGGCTCCACATCGCTGTAATTTCCTATTCCCTGAAATATTTCTCTGTGGCCACGGTAATCCCTTGTAGAGATTGTTTATGCACAGGCTTGTTAGCTTGCAGCTGGCAGCCAGGTCAGGTTACAATGAGCCAGTTGGCAGGTGTTTGGTATCTTGTTTTTAACTGCTAAGCCAGGAGTCATACTAAACCTGACACCTGCTTTTCAAATCAACCCTGATCCCAGAACTTAAACAGAGTAATTTTGCTCAGTTATATAGATGCAACCTATATCTACAAGAATTTTATGGTTAAAATTTCTAACCTTTGCAGCTAGAATGAAATTTGGACACGTTTGGTCTAAAGCTGCAACTTTTAAAAAGGTTCTTGATATTTATCCTTATGTATGTAGGCAACTTAAACCTTTGTTGAAAACTTCCAAAATATAATATTACACACTGTTAGACTTGAACATTAGTATGAGTGGTTTTATTTTCCATATTGGCCAAATAATAAATGAGATAGAAATAAAGGTACTTGTTAAGTCATGTCAGTTCTTTGAAGTATGGGGGTTGTTTTTGATGCTCTTCTGCTTTAAATATTCTTTTGGGACTGGGAGTAAGGGTGTGAACGTCACAGTTTCCTGTTAAGTCTGTGTTGGGGGCATTACATTTGCCTTGACATCACCATTTCCTTTTATTCTTTCTTTATATTTAAGAAAAAACTATCTGGGAATTAAATGTCAATGCACTGAGTTCCCCCAAATGATTAGAAAAATATTAACTTTTTAGATTCAGTCTTAGGAGATAAGAGAATCTCTACCATTTCAGACAGAATGTAGTGTAAAATTATTAATTGTATTATTGGATTATTTCTGGTTTATTTGATTCGCTCCTACAGTTCTGTTGCAGTGACACATGGTATAACAATGAACCAATTCTTTGTTGTTATTGTCATGTAAGTGGTGGATTCATTTTATGAATTACAGTAATGATTTTGTTTCTAAATATGTTTAACATTGTAAAGTATGGTAGAGGACCTGTGATGCTGTGAGACAGTTTTTCTCTCTGATATCGGATTTCAGATTTGTTTCTCTTGCGTCTCGCTGCAGGGTAATGATCCAAAACTAAAACAAAATAATCCAATCTGCGCAGCAGTGCTACAAAAACCAACATATCAGCTTGTCAACCACAGCTTATGCAAACAGCACAAATCATTGCTGCCACATCCTGAGCATGATGAAAAGTCAGCTGTGACGTGATTCTTTGCCAATATCAAGCTTTAAGTTTGGATTGTGCTCCTTTATTTGGACATTAGCATACAAAAACTGTCCAGAAGTATCATCAGGGCTGAATTTGTCACCCTAAAATGTTAAGTTCAACTCCTCCTTTTTTTTTTTTCCTTTGCAAAACATGAGGATGTTAAACATGCCAGAGGAATGCTAATGGGAGTTTCTTAACACCTATGACTGTATATCAGTGACCCAGTGGCTTTGGTACCAGACATCAATAAAACTATGCTTAGAGAGTGAGTACGCCAACACCTTGTCTTAGTTAAATCCATGGTAGCGCCTCCAGAGAGACTACAGTCTGTTTGTTTTTGCTTTTTTTCTAAAAAGTAGAACAATAGAGACTGTATTAAAGGCCTCTTGATGCCGGGGGTTATTTCACCCCAGGGAATTCAGGCATTTGCATTCAGAGAGGCTGCCTACGGAGAGCACAGTTGTAGAAAGAATTCAAACCTTGTTGAGACTTTTTACCACTTCCTGGCTTTTGACCTTTAACCTTTAGACTTCCTTTGTTTAAAAGCTTTAAACTAATGACTATGTCTGAAATAAAATTATTTCAATTTCTTTTTTTTTTTGGTAGTTAACTGCAATATCTTGTCTTTAGCTTGATGGATGTCAGGTATTTTGTGAATTTATTACAGCTGCTTGCACAAATCATGTAAGCTCTAAATAGATAGGTGAAAATGTAATTTATTTTCACATACATTTAATTAATATAGAGATTACTGGTTAAAACCTTTCACGTCAATTATCTTTAACTGGTTAAGAGAATTCTAAGCTTTAATTAAAGCATATTGGTTTTGGATATAATTAACCATTTCAACAGTACTAGAAACTTTTATAGTCATAATTCTTTTTCTGATAGATGAAATGATGAAAAACCCTTTAGTTTTACTACAGGGGGCATCAGGAGTTTCCTTTAAAAACTAAACAGGAACCTGACTTCACATTGAATATATAAATGATTAATCATTATTTATCTTACATTTATTTAATACGAATTGCTAGGGATGTGAATAAGTGTGATAAAGCTTGATTAGCCCACTAAGATGAAGATATTTTAAGGCTCTCAATCCAGTTAGTGAGTTTTGAGCATATTTTTGCTGCAGGTTCTCACATTTTAATGTCTTGTAAAGGAATAAATTATTTGATTTTTGGGTTCTTTTGTCTCTTAAGTGTTTGTTTTTCATATATACTTATGTTTTCATTTGGTTTACAGATGTAGGTTAAGAGTTTAAAATTGGTCAGTATCCTGTTTAATGATCACTTTTGCTTGTATGATATAAGCCTTGTGCTTATCTTAAACATGTATCACTATAACCATAAAGATAAGCTGCAAATAGACAGAACTAGATATCCTGTCCTTGTGGCCTTTTAAAATAGCTTTTGGCAAGAACAATAGATGGTAAAGTTCAAACAGCATAACAAAAGATTTGCAAGTAGTGCATGTCACATTTAAGGTCACTATGGAGTCGTATCCATATATGCTTGGAAACGGATTTAGTTTCTTTTCTTTTTTTTTTAACTTACTGCATTATATTTCATTGATAGTTAATTACTGTGCATGTAAATAATGTGCAGACTTTCAGCGTCCTTTTTTTCATATCCACAGTTAACTTGATGAAAGGTTCGGGAGTTTCAGCTCCTTAACTTATGCCATCCTCTTAAAAAGGAACCAAAAGTTATTGGACAGTTGGCACACAGACTGTTTCGATTTCAGTTGGGGGTGGTTGCTTCGTTATGTCTTTATCAGTTCAATGGATAAAAGGTCTACTGTTGAATTGAGGTATTGTGTTAGCATGTAGAGGATCTTGTTTTAAACAGACATGGGGTCGAAGGAGCAATCTAAGCAGGTACGACCTGGATGCAAGTGAAACCAAAGCAGAGAAAAGTGAAAAGGTCACCAAAGTACGAGAAGCAGAATATAAAGTTTGGGACCCTGAGAGAGAAAGAAAGTTAAGCTCCATGTAAAACAACAGGGGTGAGCACAGAATAACAGAATATTTACACGGTGAAGAGAAAACTGGTCCCAACAGCCAACAAAGTGAACCGGGAGTAGACATCTCCACCAATAAACCTTATGGATAGCGGGACTGAAGTAGACTTTGTAAAAAAAATAAAAATAAAAAAAAAAAAGAGAAGAGGAAACCAACATGATGATCTACAATAGTGATGGCAAGAGAAAAAAAGAGAAAAGTAAAAAGAAGGAATAGAACATCTCATGATCATAAGCATGCCATAACTGCAAAGCATGACAGAGGCAGTGTTATGATGTGAACAGATTCAGCTAAATGCAGCCTCTTAACCCAATTCATTGTAAATTTTCCTTGTTAAAGACTTAATGTCCAGAAAGCCCCAAAAAGCTTTAAAAGGGAGGAAACTCAGCAGCTGATGAGGTTCTGGATTTCAACACTTCAGACTCTTATTGCAAGTAAAGTTTTGTACCAAGAATTACAATCAATCATTTTTATATTCCATTATTTAGTTTAGATGGCATAAAAAAAACTTTATTAAAATTTTGTGTTAAACCCACTAATTTAGTGCTGAGTTACTGCTAACTAACGACTGCAGAACAGCTGATATTGATGATTGCGGTTCAGCAAAAGCCTGTTAATCAGTTATAAATGAAAATCAGCTGTTCTGAAGCAGGGGGGGGGGGGGGGGGGGGGGGCACTAAAACCTGCAGGATCTAAAATGCTTGATTTAAAGTTAATTATAATAATATACAAAACCCTTTTTTTTTTTTTTTAAGGGTTCTGTTGCACAGTGTGTAATTATCTACCTATAACGTCTCCATCGTTTTACACAGTTCTAGCGAATGAAACGAAAGCGGAATGTCTGAAACGTTGCAGTTGTCTAAAATCCACCAGAATTATTGCAAATAAGCTGAATGGTGTCATTTTATCTGTTGGTTTGGCCGAGTCATTATCTTAGTCACACCTGAAACTGTTTCTGATTAAAACTGTTTTTCTCAAGGTGAAGAGGGACTTAGAGAGTGTAACATCTTCTTATGCATTGTGAGACAAACCATTTATGTGTTGCGCTGGAATAAGCTCTAATTGGAGCAGTCAAACCATGATACAATGTTCATAGGGAATTAAAGTCAACATCTCAGCCACCTGAGATTAAGCCAAAGCTCTGTTTCTTTTCAGTAATAACAAGGAATAATTTAAAAAGTGGTACTTGCTGGTTGCCAGTACTGGAAAAGGTTAGTGGTTTATCAAGGTTACGGTTCTCAGAAAGCATGAAGAGGATAATTAATTTCAGATTGCAATAACAAATGGTTTACTCTTTCCCCGAGATGACTTTATTATCCTCAAGACTGGAGCCCAGACATGCATGACTGCACAGGTTACGCCACAAGCTCCTTTATGCAATGTGATTTATACTGCAAGTAATGTAGCCTAATTTGTTCATGCAGTGGAATGTGATTTTCTGAATGAAATCCATTGACCAGACTGTTAGCAAGAGGCTACGTCGTTTTACTAAAGCTATAAATGCATTGATGATTGAGCACAAGGAATGAGAGTCTGTTAAACACGCTTAACGCTGCTTTAGACCTAAACTTTTAGAAACACTTACAGGCCAACGGTCTGCAGTCTATAGATTCAAGGACATATGAGTTTTTTATCTCAAACTTTGGCTCACAAATAACAAATATCAGTGGAAAGAGCAGTTTGTATCCGACCATGTTGTTTAAGTGTAGCATTTGTAAAACCTCTGAGAGTAGACTGAATGTAGCGGTGCAACTATTTACTATTTTGCTAATTGGTTAATGTACCAATTGTTTTATTTATTGTTATTAATTGAT